AACTGCATGGTATTGGCATAAAAACAGAAAGGAGGATCAATGGAACCACATAGAAGACCCAGAAATAAACCCACACACCTATGAATACTCGATTTTTGACAAAGAAGCCAAAACCATTCAATGGAAAAAAGATAGCATCTTCAACAAATGGTGCTAGTCCAACTGGATGTCCACATGCAGAAAAATGAAAATAGATCTATATTTATCACCCTGCACAAAACTAAAGTCCAAGTGGATCAAAGACCTCAACATAAAACCAGATACTCTAAATCTGTTAGAAGAAAAAGTGGGGAACAGCCTAGAACTCATTGGCACAGGAGACAACTTCCTGAACAGAACACCAACAGCACAGGCTCTAAGAGCAACAATCAATAAATGGGACCTCATGAAACTGAACAGCTTCTGTAAAGCAAAGGACACTGTCATCAAAACAAAACGCCTGCCTACAGATTGGGAAAGAATCTTCACTAACGATTTATCTGAAAGAGGACTAATATTGAGTATATACAAAGAACTAAAGAAGCTGAAAAGCAGCAAACCAAGTAATCCAATTAAAAAATGGGGAACAGCCAGTCCTGAAGATACCTGATAAAACAGGATCAGATGAATGGGGAGCTAAACAGAGAATTCTCGACAGAGGAATATCGAATGGCAGAGAAACACTTAAAGAAATGCTCATCCTCATTAGCCATCAGGGAAATGCAAATCAAATCGACCCTGCAATATCACCTTACACCCATCAGAATGGCCAAGATGAAAAACTCAAGTGATATCACATGCTGGAGAGGTTGTGGAGAAAGGGGAACCCTCCTCCACTGCTGGTGGGAATGTAAACTGGTACAACCACTCTGGAAATCTATCTGGCGCTTTCCAAGACAATTAGGAATAGTGCTTCCTCAAGACCCAGCTATACCACTGCTAGGTATATACCCAAAGTTTGCTCAAGTACACAAAAGGGATATTTGCTCAACCATGTTTATAGCAGCTTTATTTGTAATAGCCAGAACCTGGAAACAACCCAGATGTCCATTAACAGAGGAATGGGTACAGAAATTGTGGTATTTTTACACAATGCAATACTACTCAGCAATGAAAAAGGAGGAAATCATGAAATTTGCAGGCAAATGGTGGGATCTAGAAAAGATCATCCTGAGTGAAATATCCCAGAAAGAGAAAGACAAACAAGGTATATGCTCACTTATATAGACTTATAAGATATGATAAACATAATGAAATCTATACACCTAAAAAACATAATCAAGAGAGTGGACATGGGGTAAGATTATCAATCCTCGTTTTGAAAGACAGATGGGATGCGCATTGAACAAGGACAGGAGTCTACTGAGCGCATTTGAAAGACTCTAACTAGCAGTGTTTTCAAAGCAAAGACTCATGACCAAACCTTTGGCAGAGTACAGGGAATCATAAGAAAGAAGGGGAGTTAGTCTGATGAGGAAAGGATAGGAGCTCCACAAGGACCAAATATATCTGGGCACAGAGTCTTTTCTGAGACTGACATGCAACCAAGGACCATGTATGAATGTAACCTAGAACCTCTGCTCAGATGTAGCCTGTGGTAGCTCAGTAACCAATTGGTTTCCCATAGTGAGGGGAACAAGGACTATTTCTAACAGGAACTCAATGACTGGCTCTTTGGCCTCCCCACCCCCCAAGGAGGAGCAGTCCTGTTAGGCCACAGAGGAGAGCTTTGCAGCCAGTCCTGAAGATACCTGGTAAAACAGGATCAGATGAATGGGGAGGGGGTCCCGCCTATCAGTGGACTTGGCAAGGGGCACGGTGGAGATGAGGGAGAGAGGGAGGGACTGGGAGGGAATGAGGGAGGGGGATACGGCTGGGATACAGAGTTAATAAAATGTAACTGATAAGAAAAAAATAAAATTAAAAAAAATGCTCAACCTCATTAGCCATTAGGGAAATGCAAATCAAAACAACCCTGAGATTTCAGCTTACACCCATGAGAATGGCCAAGATTAAAAACTCAAGTGACAACACATGCTGGAGAGGTTGTGGAGAAAGGGGAACCCTTCTCCACTGCTGGTGGGAATGTAAACTTGTACAACCACTCTGGAAATCAATCTGGTGCTTTCTCTGACAACTAGGAATAGCGCTTCCTCAAGATCCAGCCATACCACTTCTAGACATATATCCAAAAGAGGCTCAAGTACATAGTAAGGACATTTGCTCAACCATGTTTGTAGCAGCTTTATTTGTAATAGTCAGAAGCTGAAAACAGCCCAGATGCCTCCAACTGAAGAATGGATGCAGAAATTGTGGTACATCTATACAATGGAGTAGTACTCAGCAATGAAAAATAAGGAAATCATGAAATTTGCAGGTAAATGGTGGGACCTGGAAAGGATCATCCTGAGTGAGTTGTCCCAGAAGCAAAAAGACACACAGGGTATATACTCACTCATATAAACATACAACATAGGATAAACCCACTAAAATTGGTACATCTAAACAAACTAAGCAAAAGAGAGGACCCTAACTAAAATGCTCAATCCCCATCCTGAAAGGCAAAGAGGATGGACATCAGAAGAAGAAGAAAACAGGAAACAACCTAGGAACCTGCTACAGAGGGCCTCTGAAAGCCAGAAGAAGAAAACAGTGAACAACCTAGGAACCTGCCACAGAGAGCTTCTGAAAGGCTCTGTCCTGCAGACCATCAAAGCAGATGCTGAGCCTGATGGCCAACTGTCGGGTAGCGTGAATGGAATTTTATGTAAGAAGTGGGAAATAGTAAGAGCTGGAGGGGACAGGAACTCCACAAGGAGAGCAACAGAACAAGAAAATTTGAACACAGGGAACTTCCTAGAGACTCATACTCCAACCAAGGACTATTCATGGAGATAACCTAGAACCCCTGCATAGATGTAGTCCATGGCAGTCAGTGTCCAAGTGGGTTACATAGTAATGGGGAGAGGGACTGCCTCTGACATAATCTGATTGGCCTGCTCGTTAATCACATCCCCCTGAGGCGGGAGCAGCCTTACCAGGCCACAGAAGATGAAAATGCAGCCACTTCTGATGAGACCTGATAGTCTAAGATCAGAAAGAAGGAGAGGAGAACCTCCCCTATCAGTGGACTTGGGGAGGGACATGCATGCAGGAAGGGGAGGAAGGGTGGGATTGGGAGGGAAGGAGGGCGGGGCTTATGGGGGGTACAAAATGAATAAAGTGTAATTAATAATAATAAAAAATTAAAAAAAATAAAATGTAACTAAGGAAAAAAACCCACAAAAAACGTAGAAAATAAAATTTGTTCTGAACCCCAGGACTTTGGAAGAGCAACAACTGCTCTTAATCAGTAAGCCACTTCTCCACCCCTCCATAATTTTAATTAATTATTTGAGAATTCCATCGTGTAGATAATGTAGTTTTGTCATAGTCACTCCCACATGACGCCTAACTCCTCCCAGATCCACACCTCGTGTCCCCCTCCCCAAGCCCCGTTCCTCTTCCAACTTCATGTCTGGTGTTTAATTTCATTTCTCATTTTTTGTGACTCGCTGATTCCGTCTGGTACCGATTCCACACTCACGGGTGTGGGGCCACCCACCCGAGTTCGTTAGACCTACCACCAGCCCCAACCTTAAAAACACAGCAGTTGGCAAAAACCACCAACTGTCTGCTGACAGCTAGTGATGTGGGCTACTGAGAACTCCTTGCTGCCTGTTGATGTTGCCTGGCTACATGATTATGTCTATATGTGTATGTACATGGGTATGATGTATGTATATGTGTGTATAATTTTTGCTTTAAAAAGAAAAGTATGTGGCATATATAGAGAAATTCTAGTGATTGATTTTTATAGGATTTTTACGGCAGCACTCTCAGACCAGAGACCATTGTGAGTAACTTACTGGGTACTGTGTTTGCCTTATTTTACCTTCATCATTAGTTTACAAACGCCAACAAATGTGCACAAACATCTGGTCTCTAACATACCGTATTTGCTTTCTCTCAGTGAGTTTTATTTGATTGAGGAAGTTCTTTTCTAGAAAAAAGAAGTTTCCTGTTTTTTAACCTAGTTAGAAACTGAGCTGCCTTGAATGGCTTTTTATCTGATTCATCAGGGTAGTTACATAATTTTTAAAACACATCTTCAGGTCTGATGGAGTACATTAATATATTAATATATAAATATAGATAACATACAAATATATAAAGTCAAAGCATATGACCACAGGCAGGTTATAACATAAATCTCAATTTCAACATTATTCTGTTGTTGGTGAAAGTACAAAATAATTCAGTCAGGTTATGGCACTGGCTTGTTTGCCTGCTCTGTTTTAAAAGTTGTCTACTTAGACTGTGTATAGATCACAAAAGATCTCTCACTAAAACTCATTAAAAAGATCCACGATAAGATTTTATTTCAGTAGACTATCTAATTCTGTATGTGAATAACATGGACTTTAATATGTTTTACTGAAAATAATTAGTTAATATCCTGGAGGATATAACCTAGCATTCAGAAGCAACTCCTAGGCTCATGTTCAAGGGGAAGTACTCTTAAAAGCATGCTAGAGGGAAAGTGGATATTCCCTACACAATTCTTCATGTATATTAAACACACTCAGAGAACACACATCCAAATGTAAAAACTCTGCTTTTCTGACTTAAGAAAACAACCTTCTATGGAACAGCACCAGTCCAACCAAACTTGATAATCTAAAGCAGGAGGACTCCCTCTATTTAGAAAGCTTTCCAGAATAATTCTAGACCACACTGATCTTCTCACATTCCAAGGTCCCATGACATATTCATATATTCCCCACCAGGATAATATCACATGTGAAAAACTGAGGTAGGTAGTATGATCAGCTGCAAAGAAATATTACTGACATTTGTTGTGGGGCTTTTCCCAAGATGTGGCAAGCGTCTGTTCCCCACAGACCCCTCGTGGAGAGCAGTCCAAAGGCACAATCTCTGCCAAGTCCAAGTGAACCCATGGAGCTGCTGGGGTTACTTACAGGAAGGAATACTCGGAGGCAGCCGGATCCACCACAGGAGACACACTGCAGCATGGGTCCTGGAGTTGTCTGGCCCAACCTGGAGGAAGCTCCACCAGGCTATCAACTGTTTATAACCTTTGGGAGGAGGCCTGCAATCTTTGAGCTTCAGAGATTCTAGAACATTTTAAAATTCTGGTCCTGCGTCTTAGGGACCTCTTCTTTCTTCCTGGAAAGGTTTTAATTTGAAGAAAATAATAACAGAGTACTTTGAAGCAGGAAAAAAGAAACCCGAAATATTGCAGAAAAAACAGTAAACATAAATCTTGTGGAGGAAACAACTTTTCTTTTGAGGCTCAGTAGAAAGGAAGCCCTGTAAAACTCACCTTCCTCCTTTTTGTTATTTGTAACATCTCTTTCTACTTGGTGCTTTAGTGGCCCAGACACTGTGTGGTACTTCCTTTTTCACTGGCCTATTTTAATATTCAAAATGAATGTAGTTAGCAATGAGGATTTGGTATTTGTTTAATGTGGATAAAGTACATCTAAGAACAGGAAGAAGAGAACAAGGGAGGGGCAAGGGAAAGGGAGGGGAAGATGGGGTGAGAGTGAAAGGGAGGGAAGAAGGGGGAAGGTATGAGAAAGGGAGGGAGAGAGTGAGACTACACACATACCAAAAGAAGAGCACAGAGCAAGATGCCTAGATCATGTAAGCTCAAGGGGAAAAACACAGGAAGGAGATGAGTCACCATTTCCTTTGCTGTGCACTGAGTTTTTCTTTTCTATTAAGGTTCTCTTTCTCAAGGCATGGCAACACCCAAAATGGGGAGGGAGCAAGAGAGTCACCTTGATTGGTGGCAGACAAACAACTAGCAGATGTTTCCATGTTCGTAGACAGAAGCTCTGGACCTCATATCTACACTGGGAGGGACCCATGAAAGCTCTAGGTACAGCATGACGTCCTGGGTTACTAATTCAGGGAGTACTTAAATACAAATAAAAACAAGGGACTCCTGAAAGTTGGTGGGTACCAGTTCTGGACTCCCTCCTCTGCCTGAGGGGGTGGGTGTCTGTAATGCTTGCCAATAAAGTTTGCTTTTGTTTGCTCTGAGCTCTTAAGTCTTCAGTCTATGGACAAAAAAGAAACCACCTGCTAGCAGGTATCAATTGTCCCCAAGCAGTTAGCTTTTACCTCAGTAGTGAAGCCTTTAGGGCTCTTGGTCTCCATCCTGAGAGTCTGGTGGGAGTCTAACTCATTCCCAGCCTCCACAGGGACACAGAGAACATCTGCATTGAAGGGGAATTTCAACAAAAAGGTTAGAGCTAGTCTCTGTCTTATAAATCTTTCCAAGGGTTTTGGAAGAATCTGATCCAGGAAATGGGACTTGGGGGTTGGGGATGCTGTCTTTAGGGAAAGGATAGGAAGGAAAATGGCACAGCCAGGGCAGACTTGAGCTTCCAAGGGACCTAGAAAGGAAGATAATGGTAGACAGAGACCCAAGACACTGGGTTCACTTCAAGAGTGAATAATTTTTATTTTTCCCACTGCTGTTTATATATTGTTTTGCTAGCTATTAGAGAGCATTGCAAGTAGAGCTTGAGCAAACAGCATCTTTAACCCCTTTCCTGAGTTCTTCCTTCTGCACGTTACTGCCTGGTGGCTTTGTTTTGTCCTAAGGTCATTCCTCTGAGACTTTATCAGTTTCTTTTCAGTTTTTAGGCCATATCTGGAACAGAGTTTGTTCTAGAGTAAGGGACTGCAGCTCATCTGGACTCCAACAAGTAAACAGAGAAAAAGGAGGGTGGGGAGTAAAATAACAATAAAAATGCCTGAGCGAGTTATAAGAAATCAGACTTAACTACTTATCTAAAAATCATATAATACATGTAATTCTGTCTATAAATTTACATATATAGTTTAAGTTTTCTCATTTTGGGATAAGAATGCTCCCTCCAAGAGCCAAAGACCACCTAATAAAAACCCTAATACCAGACATGAGAAATCCTGTTTAAGCTGTTGGTCAGGGATTTCCAAGAGACTCCCAAAATATATATCATATTGCTATTGCCCTTGATGCCTCCCTAGAAATGGAAGGTAAATCCCTACTGCTGAAGACACCATGTACTTCAGAAACAGAGCCCAGAGGCCCCTGAGCTGGAACTGACCTGAATAACTCTTTCTTGAGGACTAGCTTTTATAGCACCAGAAAATTCTTTGCAAGCTTCCAAAGGAGGGAAGCAATCAATAGTCCTTCCCTTTGGCGTCTATGAACCATAACAACACTTCACATGGCACAATAACCCTTAAGGGTACAGTAGAGGTACACATACCTTGGCAGTAACCAACAGCTCTCTAACTGCTTAACAAAAAGGAAATCATGCCTGATACTGAAAACCTAGCTAACTACTCAATGCTGGCAAAGTGATGGATCTTGTAGGAGAACCTCTAACCAGTACTTTATGAAACTGGAATAATCCCTAACAACAATCTATAAACATTTGTCCTCATATCCATAAGTAAGTGTAGTCCTCAAACCTTATAGAACAAAAAGCAAAAATGACAAACAATAACAACAACAAAAACGTCTCTTTGCAACAGATAGAGAACATTACAGACAACCACACCAATTTAAGTGCATAGTTGTAAAGCCCAGTTTCAGTGGATATGTGTATAACACAGTTCCTCCTAATTGAGGCTCAGGGAACATTGTGGAATAGGGGAAAGAATTGTAAGAGAGGGAGGATCGGGGAGTTTGCTGTGAGATTGTGTCTCCTAGAAATATCAAAAGCTACACTCATAAAGTCTCACCAACATGACTGCTCAAATGTGAACTGAAAAAGGAAGATTCCTATGGATATGCCACAGCGGATGGGGAAAGCCCTTGAGGCCTCAACCCTACAGAAAGTAATACAGGCAACTAAGAAATGCTGGGAATGGGGAAGAGTCTTCCTCAGGGAAGAGCACACCAGTTGCTTATCCAACACCAGATGGTCAGCCCTGTAAATACGCATGTATGCCACATTATATAGACTGAGAAAAAGTCCTATTTATGAATACAACAGCTATTCAAAGAACAAGGAGAATATATGGGAGGGTGTGAAGGGAGGAAAGGAAGGGAGAGACAATATAATTTATCATAATCTCAAAAACAAAATAAAAAAAGGACTTTTCCAACAAGGAATCGTCCACCTGTCATCAAGGAAAACCTCCTGAGGTGATGTCTCTTTTTGAAAGTGGGAGCACTTTTCTGCAAGGCAGATGATATCAACCTCATTTTCCCAACTGAGTCTGAAATAACTATGTCCTCCACCAACCTCTGTCTTCCAGTTTGTTCTGGTACAGGCGGCTGGCAGAAGGCTCTCCAGGCCCCAGTAGGGACTCTAGCTCATTTCTTTCCTGCAATGTTTCTTGGGTCTTGGGGTGGTGAAATAGATTTCTGATCATTTTTTTTCCATTTATGACTGAGTGTTGGGTCACATTAGTGGTCATCAGTCATAGCCAGTGTGATTGGATCAGTGTCTGTAGTAACCACTACCCTCTGGAAACAAATGAGGCTGCAGTCTGACAGCACTAGCAGCCTATGGGTATGAACAACATTTGAGAAGGCAGTTTTGCAATGACAGTGCCAGAAATGCAGGCGTTCTAGAGACTTTCATGTCTTTTCTTTGGCTATCAGACTATTTCAACAAATGTTCCCAGGAAATTGGAGTTTTCCAGGGACCTCATGCTGGAACAAAGAAAGGTGGTTCCCCTCAGAGGAGGAAATAAAAAAAAAAGAAAAAAGATTTCACACAGCTCTGACAACCTCACAGGCCAAGTTGCAGGAGATACTGAAAGTGAGAAATGGGACCATCCCAGACTAGAAAGAAAAACAACTGGACCTTGAATAAGGGCCAGCTAAGAAAGAAGAACAAGTCAGGAAATTAAGGGCTACTAAACCTTGAGCAGAGGCCAGACCAGATGGCCCTCCTCAAATACTGGATGAGCTTGTTTTAAGATAAGAAACCTGGGACTGAAAAGACTGTCCTTGAAGCTGTAAGCTGCCAACTGCAAACTGCTATCTTTTCTGCTGACTAGTCAATGTAAAGGCCTGATTTTTAGGTATAAAAACTCTGTGCTTGGTATGCTGGAGGTCGTCTCCTGCTTTGAATGGACGACCCCCATCGCGATAGGAATAAACTGCCTCTTGCTCTTGCATCGAACCAGTCTCTTTGGGGAGGGAGCGGTATGGTGCCCCTGCATTGGGAGTGCAGGTTTTGCAAAACCAAGATAAGGATGGGTGGGACCTTACCCTTGATTGTGTACTGAGGATTCTGGTTTCTTAAAAGCTCAGTTATGTTATGTAAATATGGTTCTGTTTAATCTCAGGTGTGGGATATGGGACTGTTTCAAATTGTCCACAGCAGCATGCTATTTGCCTCATGCAGGCTCTGGCAAAGGTGTGATCGTTGTCAGCTGTAGATAGTTTAATTCTGCGCTCACTGAGAGGGTATAAATGCTAGAGCCTAGAGAGGGACAGGGAACTTTGAGAAAGAAGGTTGCTGCTGCTCCCTCTCTCTCCCAACCCCAACTACCTTCCACCTCACTGCTCCTGGTTGCTGTTGTTGTAGTTTGATGAGAAGAAGTCACAGATATCCTGACTGTAAAGATTGGATGTGCTCCAAGGAACCCAACAATCTAAAACAAGAGAAAGTAGCCAAAAGAGAACTGTGACCCCTCTCTCCTCTAACCTCTTTCTTTCCTATGTGATGTTGGGGATGTTGGAATGGATTGGGTGGAGAAGGGAGGTAGAGATATAAGGAACCCCAATAAAATAGATAAAAAGACACCTTTGTTTAAACTTGAACCTTGAGTTAGGATCCTGAAGATGAAGTGGAGTTGAGGGGATTTCACTAAGCCTTTTTGTTCCTTTTTATGGGGGCCTCTGTCCTCCATAGCCACAGATCTTTGCCTTGGCTCATAATATCAGGAGTTTCTTGTGCTGGGGTAGGTTTTAAATCTAAAGAGTAAACTGTTTGTAGTGCCCATATTAGTCATGCCACTATTGCATTTTGGACAGCATTGTCTCACAGGTTGAGAGTAGAGCAGAGATAATCTTCAGCCAAGTAGAAATAGGGTGAAAATTCAACCCTAGTAGCCTGTGTAGTACCTGAGGGTACTAAAAACGTTAGGTATCAGGAAGACTTCTTTCCCTAGGGTCTCTCTTTATAATTTATCAAACGACTGCTTCTTCCACTCTGCTAGAAAG